ATTGCGTACGAGGTCGAACAAGAACTTGTTCAGCATTGTTTAAATAAATAGTTTCAGAAAATGTATGTGAATCAAGGCTAGTAACTCTTATGAGAGGAACAAGAAGGTGCCCAGTTTTCAAGGGTACAAGTGTAATAGGAAATTCATTCGTTTCTCCAACCTAAATTGTCAATTACGTGAGAGTTTGTATCTTTTTTTAGGGAAAAAAATTCATTGGATATAAGTTGTTGTCTCACCTTTAAAGAAAAGCATAATTTTTTATGTCCTGCCAATAGCCAATTGTCAAAATCAACATGAACATCATAATAAAATTTCAAAGTATCCGTAGATGTATAATTCCAATATAATGAATGTCAAACTATCAGACGACAATGGCATGGCTCCTAACGATAAAATCATGTGATTTTGAAATAATATTGAAAATTTGCAATAATAAAAAAGAAAGATTGATCTATATATACCTTAGATGATGGCACATTTATGGGGAACGATATTGAATATTTTAAATCATTGCCGATAGCCATAATTTCTTCATTAGACACTTGGTTGCTTGTCTAATCATAATCATTAAAATAAACGTAAATATTAAATCTAAATGACATAACAATAATAAAAAAAAGGTAATTACCTCCCAAAATTCCTTAACATCAACTAGTGCATCTTGGCAACACTATGGGTTATGAAATGATTCTCACACTGTGAAATATCTAATTCACCGAAATCCAAAGTATCTGTCATACTATATGAAACATAATCTACCGATTTCAATAGATGTTCCTTGGCATTTTCAATAAGGAATTGAGAATGTTGAAATAATTATTTTGACTTTAAAATAGTATTCAAGGTATGCTCCACATACTTCTCAACCTATATTTATAAAAAGATCGTAACGTTTAATTTAACGAAATAAGAAAAGAATATCAAAAGCGAAGAATAAGTCAAGTTAATTACCTACCATCTTGAAGTGACCGATATGTTACTACAAAATGGATTTGAGTGCTTGCAGATTTCGCATGTTTTCCATACAAATTAAACAAAATATTAATAAACGTTTAATATAATATGAAATCTAACCCATTGTACTAACGTTACCTTTTGATCTTGTCAATTTATACACGTATGAAGTATGCTGTTTTCCAAATGAATTCTTTTTTATGGAAAAAGTTTAAAAAATGAATAAAATGCGAATAAACATTTTGGAATGTTATTTAATGACACCTACCAAAGATGGTAAACTTAAGGATAGATTGTCGGCAACCTCAAACTTTTGAAGGAACCAAATTGGTTTTCAAAATTCTCACTGGATATCCATTTTTAAAAAAAGACAAAGAAAATTTTTTCTAAATAAAAAAAATCTAAAACCCAAGATCATAATCAAATAATTATTCTCAAATTTATACCAAACATCTCTGAAAATATTAAGTTCATTAACCGAAATGGGCAACCAAACTTTTACTGTATCAACAGATGTAAAGGCTTTTGGTTTTCCTTTACTTTTTGTATTCTACCGATATTCTAACTGATAAAGGATCAAAAAAATCATATCAATAAATAATTGATATAAACATATAGAAATCTCAAATTCCTTTCAAACACACAACCTTGTGCTCAACTGATCCCCAATTACCGTC